CGACTGTACCATTAAAAATGGTTAAGATGGTAAATTGTATATTATGTATATTTTATCACAATTTTTCAAAAAAGGGGGGAAAAGGGAGGCTGGGGACAGATGGCTGGGAGGGCTGGGAAAACAGAGGGAGCTCCCAAGGTTCAGGTAGCGCTGAGCAGTAGGGTGGGGAAAATCATGTGAATGATCCATCTAATGGAATGTTCGACAGAAGCTAGAAGAATGTAATTTTGGGGATGCTGAGGAAAAAATTTCCATAACGAATGATCTCCAGAGTAGGCGACAGTTCCAAGATTCAGATTCTAGATGTAACTGATATGCGCCAGAACTTGCTGTTCGTGAAAGCACAGACAAAGCCATAATGAGACCATACCCGAGGATCTATACTTGAGCCAGACTCATTCAACCAAACATTCTTGAAACTCCTCTTTGGGCATGATCATGATTGTATGCAGCTGCATGATTCCCTGCACCCATCTGGCCTGGGAGTCCTAGGTGAGCTTAGGACCCTTCTAAGGTCCCTTAGGCCAGGTTCTGGTACATGGTGAAGTAGTGGTAGTGGGGGGGGGGCAGATTGCCTTGCCAATAACCAGGGCTCTCTTCTGCCAGTCACCTGTCTCTCAGGGCCCTGGTGGGCATGGCCCTGGGCTCCTCTTCTCTCCTGCTGGGTGTTGGCCCATGATCTGCCTGAATCAATAGCTCATCTTCTCAAACACACCCCTCTACTGTATTTCTTACATGTCATCTGTCAACAGGTTTGGATGCGGCACGAGAACATGATAGATATTTGATATTACAAATATCCTGGGGAAGTCTTACATGGAGGGTCCATGGATGGTCATCACTTCTCAGAAAAGCCTGGAAAATAATATTTCTGTTATGGAAGGAGTTACTAAATGTTTTAATGATAAATGTATAGTGTCTTAGAGCTTCCTGTCCTGAAAATACAGGACCCCTCGAGGAAGCCATGCCACTCACTATAGTTGGAGTGTGCGATATATGTTGTGAGTCTCATGTTGCAAGTCCCCAGGCTAGGGAGTTAGCCTTGCAGGGACTAAGGAGGGAACAGAGAGTTCTGAGTTGTTCACCATTAAGTAGGAACCCTCATGTACAGTTGGTGGGAATGCAAATTGGTACAACCATTGTGGAAAACAGTATGGAGTTTCCTCAAAAAATTAAAAACAGAGGGGCACCTGGGTGGCTCAGTTGGTTAAACATCCAACTCTTGATTTCAGCTCAGGTCATGATCTCAGGGTTGTGAGATTGAGCCCCGCGTTGGGCTCCGTGCTGGGCATGGAGCCTCCTTAAGATTCTTTCTCCTCTGTCCCTGCCCCCACCTCTCTTAAAAAAATTAAAAATAGAATTACCCTATGATCCAGTAATTCCGCTACTATTTACCCAGAGAAAATGAAAACATCTAACTTGGAAGGCTACATGTGCCCTATGTTTATTGCAGCATTATTTACAGTAGCAAAGATAGGGAAGCAACCCAAGTGTTCATTCATAGATGAATTATAAAGAAGATGTGGTATATGTATATAAGAGGAAATACCACTCAGCCATAAAAAAGAATGAGATTCTGCCATTTGCAACAATGTGGATGAACTTAGAGGGTATTATACTGGGTGATATAAATCAGACAGAGAAAGACAAATACTATATGATTTCACTTACCTGTGGAATCTAAAAACAGAACACATGGACAAACAACAGACTCTTAAATACAGAGTACACACTGGTGGTTGCTGGAGGGGAGATGGATGGGGGTGGGTGGGTGAAACAGATAAAAGGAATTAAGAGGTACAAACTTCCAGTTACAAAGTAAAGAAATCATGGAAATGAAAAGTTCAGCATAAGAAATACCATCAATAAAATTGTAATAACACTGGGGACAGATGGTGACTACCCTTACTGTGGTGAGCACTGAGTAACGTAGGGAATTGTCGAATCATTATGTCGGACACCTGAACCTAATAGAAGGCCATATGTTAATTATACTTAAAAAAAAAAAAGAATATGAAGTGATGCAGGTGTATGGCCATCAGACACATTCTAGCCGAATGAAACTGTAAGCAACTTAAGATGTAGTATGTGAAATGCGTAGCGAGAGAGTTTCTAGCTCAGGTCCATGAGGGGCCATGGGAGAAGATGTTCATTTCCACAGGTATGGAAGTAGCCAAGGTCTGCTTCAGAGGGGCTGGGGAAGTAAGACACGGTGGAAACATAATGTAGAATGAGGTGCTGCAACCAGAAACAAGGAACTAGATGTATAAACACGGCAACATGAGTATATCCTTAAAAAATACAACACAGAATGAGCTCTCAGGCTCAATACCACTTAAGTGAAACACACAAAATAATACTATGTACATATTTCTAAGGCCATGTATTCCATTCATTAGACTTGGTGCCTCTGGGAGAGAGGGAAATGTGAACGGGGATGGGATGGGGTGGGTAAAAGAGAAAAGACAAAACAAGAAAAGTTGATTAACCAACTCTGTGTAGCTGAGATTCCAACCCCCGCCCCAAATAAAGGTTTTCCCTTTGCTCACATCCAGTCAGACTTAAGGATTGGAAGGGCACCTACTTAGGACTCAAGGCAGTTATATTCTGAGTATCTTATACATGGCGGGGGTGGCAACTCTTAGTGGTCTTCAGTGTCTGGCTGACTGAGTTGGTAGAGCGTGTGACTCTTGGTCTCGGGGCTGTGAGTTGGAGCTCCATGTTGGGTGTAGATACTACTTAAAAAAAAAATCTAAAAAAATTATGTACACTGCTCTTTTTCCTTAATAATACACTCCCCATTTTCCTTTATGGGCGGGCGCATTTTTTAATGACTAATTTCTGGTTAGTGTTGTATGGGACTTCTGGGAAGGGTAATCAAAAGGCTTGGAATGTTGCCATGATGGCTGGTACCCTGATAGCCATATGAAACCATGAAACAACTTTAAGAATGGAAACCACACACCTAGAAAGATAGGAGGTGATATCCCGATGACCCATGAATCTGCTATATGAGAACTTGATGACCCAGACCTGGTCTTCTTTTATGTGAGAGAGGAACATACTTCTATCGCATTTAAACCATTGTTATTTTGGATTTTTTTCTATTATATGGAGCCAGATATTAACAAGGTGGGTTCTGAATAGATGTTGATTTGAAGAGAATTTCATTTTTCTTAATCTGTAATTCCTTAGAATAAAGTTTTCCTGGAAATACTTTTAAAAATGCACCGTTTTTTCAACTATTTGGCATCTTCAGAGGGTAGCAGTTATACCTTTGTTGACATTTGTTTTAATTTTTAGGATCTTTTTTTTAAAGATTTTTTTTTATTATTTATTTGACAGAGATAGAGAGGGAGAGCACAAGCAGGTGGAGTGGCAGGCAGAGGGAGAGGGAGAAGCAGGCTCCCCGCTGAGGAAGGAGCCCGATGCGGGGCTCGATCCCAGGATCCTGGGATCATGACCTGAGCCGAAGGCAGCCGCTTAACCGACTGAGCCACCCAGGCGCCCCTAGGATCTTTTTAAATTACAGAAGAATCATATAAAATAAAGTATAAAATGATCTGGACTAAATTTTGAGGCAGAGCAGAGGTTTGGCAGCAAGCCCAGATGGCACGGTTTGAGGTTTAACACAGAATTGACAATACCCTCTCATACCCACTTCAGTTGGATGTGTGCGTAGAATGAATAGACGTGATCTCAGGGTCAGGCGGCTTTGCTGATGGAAAGCTGCCAGTTGGTCTGATAATGGAGGCAGAGCTCTAAGTAAGCACTTACATTAATTCTATTACTAAGCACAGTAACCTGCTGAACAGACAGACTTTAAGGACCAGAGGCAATCTGGTGGACTGAAATACTCCCGATTGAAGGGGGCTGACATTACTAATTGGTGATTTTTCTTCCTCTTCATTTTGTATCTCTTGATTCTTTTGAGGTTGTCCAGACATTTTCCTGGCTTAAGGAAACAGGTTAGGCAATCTTAGAGAAATGTACTTAATTAGTATTAGTGATGGTGGCAGGTCTTGTTAAGCCAGGAAGCATCCGGAATTAAAAGGCTTGAAATTGCTCACTGGACCATTGCCCTCGGAGTCAGGCTCATCAATGCTCTTTGTTGCAAACAAATTGCATCCCTTTCTAGAACTGCAATTTGGGATCTCTTTTGGCTTAGCAACTCACACTTTCCCAGATGTAATTTTATTGAAAAAATAATTTGCGTTATGTTTCATTGTTACAAAAGAAATGCATGCTTACTGTAGAAAACTAAAATTCAGTTAAGTAAAAAAAACAAAGCTAAAACGTTGGCAATCCCATCTACCTAAAGGCAACCATTTTTAACCCCTTGGTGTGTATCTTTTCACACCCCCTTCTACACTGTGTGGTGTGTTTGTGCATGAATTTTAACTACAGGGCAGTAAAGTAAATTTTAAGAAGTATAAAGGCAGTAATTAATGTTATAGAAAACAAAAACCAGTAGATCTGATTGGTACAGCCAAAGGCTTATTCTTGAAAAGGACTGGTAAAATAGATAGATCTTTGTTGGTCTCCTCTAAGGGGAAAAAGAGAAAAACACACAAGTGAACAACATGTGAGGTAAGAACAGGGACGTAACTAGACAGATGGGAGATTACAAATCTAAGAGAACACGATGTTTGTAAACGTGTAAGCATGCTACCGAAAGCCTTCTGGGAAAATGCTTGGTGACTGGTGGAAACACGTGGAAGCAGTCTACTAACATTGAGGAATCCCCTCCATTTAATTCAGGCACTTTTATCTTAAGATCAAGGTCCCGGGTGTGGCCCTGGGCAGGTGGGTGATGCACAGAGAAGGTGGCGGCTGCAGGATGGAGGCCAAGGATGGGGGACAGTTCAGCCACATTGAACAAGATAGATCAGCACATGCTCTTCAATGCTCACGAAGTACTGCATTCAAAGCCCATCTTCAACATCCTAAAAAGGTTCAAGTTCTGCATTAGCATAGAAATTACACGCCAAACTCCTGAATCATTTGCAGCCATTTTTTTTATTCCAAATGTGTATTTTTGTAAACCTGCATTTCCCAAACAGTGCAAGTAAATTAGAAGTGACTGCGTAGACTTTAATACACGTGACTTCGTAAGGAGGAGGAGCACCCTTCCCACAAAATCCCTCAACGGAAATGTACATGGATGCATCAGTCAGGTTCTGGAAGTGAAGTTAGCGTGGGTGTCTGCCATGCAATTAATCACTCTTAAAGCGTTTAAACTCTGCCTGTCACACCGTGCACATTAGAATTTTTTTTAAAAAAACCTTAACAAAGTCTGAAATCTAGATCATTGTGCTATAAAGCATTGCACCACATGGGAAATTTGTTCATTATCCCCCCAGTGTGCTGAAAATCGGAAGACATTCTAGAAGGTTCATCTTGGCCCTACTGGCTCTGTATCCTCCCTTCAGCCATTCTTCATTTTAGAAAATATTCTCCACTGTGCATACCACCACTCTATATAGCAGAACAACACATCGCCGAAACCCCTGTCCATTGGAGCATTTCTGAAATGACACTTTCTGCCTTCTGTCTGCTCAGGGCCCTTTCCCCCCATGACCGTCCTTTTGCAGCGCCTCTAAATTCCCAGAAGTCAGGCCTATGTAGGTTTCACCTGATGCACATTTCCGATGTGACCTATGTGTAACTGCATTCCCCTGGCCATAATGCCTTTTCCAAAAATAAAAATAGTTGAATAACCTTTACAAACTGACCCTGCTAGGGTTTTAACAGGTAGCATGAAGCATACGTATCACTTGGGGGAGAAAGGCAACTATTTCCGCATTGAAAACAGGTCCCAGATGTTCCTGCTAGTTTTCTGTTTGCTTTTAACCCCCTTGTCTTTGGCTCAAAGACGGTAGGCTATGTGTGACTTGGTGAAGGAGGACTACTGGATTTTCTACATTTCCCAGACTTCGGAATCCTCCTGGTGATGGGATTTTCCTGAAGTGCTGACTGAGAGAGCTGATTCCTGATGTGTGCCTGTCAGTCCCCATAAAGCCAGTGGACCCACTCCCTTCTCCTAGTGTCTCCTTGTTCCTAAAATTCATGGCCTCTTCTTGGTGACAGGTCTAGGACTCATAGTGGGGATGTTCCCAACTCATGAGTCCCATATCAATGAAGCATAAGCAAATCATTTTTGAACAGAGGGCATGATTTTCCTCAAATTTTAAAGGGTCCTTTTTCATACTTGAAAAGTGTCTCCATATTTCTGACAGTGAAAACCATACTGAATCTATAACTAAAAGCTGCAGCAGCTGTGAGAGAGAATATCTGATAGGATTCCACAGTGAACTCATACGAGCAGGAAGGTTAGAAACTGGAATGCACTGTGGACTTTTAAAAGAATATTCTGGAGGCGTAACACACAGATGCCATTCACCCTGTCTGCTTCCCCTGAGAGCCGATTGAGAACTTCTGAGCTGGGGTGGAGCTGGTAAGATGCCCAGCTGAGAGTGGGCTCACAGTGTGCTTGGCTTCTTTATCACTGTGTTAAACGGCCCCCTGTTGCCCCACCTGCTACTTGGCCCCATCGGACACGCAGAGGCACCAGCCTTCCCCAGATAGACTCTTGGAGTGGCTGCTAGTGTTTGCTCCTGGTGATGCCAAGGCCAATTGTTTTAAAAAACTGTCTTATGAAGTCGTAGTGATCTCCTGAGTATATGACGACTCATGTGGGTCTACCATTTGGAATCGACCAGAGGCAAAGAGATCCTGGCTCTGAGACTGCCCACAGGAGCAGGGTGAGTCATCCCCCTACACCACCGCCAACGTGTCTACACCCCTCGCGGGAAGCTGGTTAGTGGCTATAGATGAATTTGTCCAAAGCTGCTGATGGAGCTGACCCAGGCCTACCACCCAAGAATCTTCAATGGTTTATTAAAGGGCAGCATGACATGGTGAACAAGAATCCATCAAAGGAAAGCTACACGTGCAGTCTCATATAGGAGTCCACACTGTACACTCCTCTTGCAGGGAGGTTTGGCTCTCCAGGCCAAATGTGCCTGTGGTGTTCTTGGGGTACCTTGCAGCACCTAGCGTTGCTCCTGATGCACTGCAGGGGCCCCATAAGTATCCTTGAAATGAGTGACTAAGACCCACTCAAAGCTGCCTTTACTACTTTTGATAAAAGTCCCAGGAGAACTCTGAGAACGGGCTTCTTTGCCTGCATCCACCCAGTAGTTACCTCTGTGCCTCCATCCCTCCGTTAGAAGCAACATCTCTGACTTCATTCTAAGAGCAGCCTCGTTCATGCCATGGACCCTCTGGCTTGGTCGTCTATTCCCATATTCACCACGAGGGGACACGTGATACATACACCGTCTTCCTGCATCAGACTCAACTGCATAATGAGACATGAAAAGACACTTATGTTCCATGCCGGGTTCACAGCTGCCCAGCATCCTCATGATTCTGCCCCAACTTGAGATGTCTTTGCAAATATTAGCCAAGTCCGTGCACAGAACACCTGTCTCCTCTGAAGCGGAGTTCTGTGTCTTTGCGACAGTGTCCACAGACCCCCAACATGTTAGTTTCCAGCAAACAAGGCCCTAGGAGAAAGATCCTTCATCTTATGTCTTGTTTTGTTCCCATCTGATGCCATCTGTTAGGTACCTGGGGCATCAGTGGGCCATAATCAGCCAGTAAAGACTCTTTGTCAGACCCTGTTCTTGGCCACATGTTTTTTCTCTCAGCAGATGGTTCTCGGGGATGGCGGCCAGAGCTGCCTCAGTCACTGAGTGTTCACGATGGGCCAGGTGCAGTGCTGAGCACACCACACCCATCATCTCATTGCCCTTTAAGAAAATCACATTGTACTCAAAACCAGGCAGCGGTGCGTCTGATAATAAACACTGTCAAACGGGGAGACTGGAACTGAAGGCCACAACTCAGCATTCGCACACGCAGGGGGCAGAGCAGATGTCAGTGCTCTGCCCAGATCCCTGTGCATCATTTCTTTCTCATCGTTTCTGGACAGCCCCCCCTGTCCTGGCTGGGGGTGCACTTCCAGCTCTCCTTTAGAGGACCACCTTTGGGCTATCAGAGCCAGTCTGCCAGCAGGAACCGAGAGTGGGAAGTTTACACCTCCCCTGGGTGCAAGAATTCGGAAGCTCAGCTCCCTTGCCTCAGGCTGGGACAACTCTGAGACCTAACTTGCCCTCCAGAGCTCCTCGTAGGCTCAGGCTGAAGCTGCCCTCCATGGGATGTCCTCTGAAATGGCACACTTCCCTGGCTTTTTTCCCTTCCCTGTCCTGCCTCCCTCACACCCCTACTGCTGTGTCTCGGGCACGGGACATGCCCTTAATCAGTTACTTGCATGCAAATCCCTGTATCAGAGTCTGCTTTTTGGGAACCCCACTTAAGACAGTATTTTAAAAACGAAGGATAGGTTGAATGGTCATCTCTGGGAAGGGATCTGCAGTCACCATTGGCTGGGACAGCAAGAAGGGTAGGGGAAGTGGAGACCTCTGAACTCGATGAAAAGGCAACGCATCACAGCATTCAGACACAAGTCTTTGCTCGCTGGGCACCGATTTAGTCCCTGTGGTGTGTGGACTCTGACACATGATGTCCAGGATGAGACGCCATTCTAAGGTTTACCAGATGACCAAATGGCCTTGCTCCAAGCTGTCATCTATTAATCCAAGTGGAAGGAGGGTAGGATGTCTGCTATATAGGTGATGCAGACCACACCTGTGCCAGCGTCAGGTTTTTCCATCCAAACTCCTGCTGGAAATCTTCCAATGACAGGTACATATGAAAAACCACTTCGAGTTCTTTAACACTTTACTTCGAACTTGACTCCAGGCGATGAAGATGCGAATTGTTTTAGGGGTCTCGCCACCACCACAGTTTATACGCAGCACCGCCAGCTTGGTGGATTCATCCCACGAGGTTTCTTCAGATTATTTTATCCACAAGTCTCTGTTAACAGCAAGTTCCAAAGTACGATCAGGTTTTTACTCTTTAAAATTTGTATGAATGCACATGTACGCTCAAGCTTTCAGGCCAGATATCAGTGCTTGAGTGAATTATATAACTATTTAATAGACATAATAAGACATTGATACAAATATAAAGACATAATCAGTATAAAAGGCTTATATTTATAAAAATACTTTTAGGTAACAGTTTTCCCCTGAGGGTCGACCACGCAGGTTGCAGCCATAAATATCGCTCAGCTCTGTAGCTTGCTTTCCAAAGTTTGGGGCTCATCTCTAAAAGGAAATGGGTGGTGGCTCCAGTCATGTGACCTGGCCAGAGTGGCTGCCTCAGGTGGGCTCCTGGGCTTGGTAACATGAGGAAGAGGACAGCGTCAGCGGGGCCTCCGGAAAATCTGGAGAAGATTCTTTCTTCCAAATATGGAAGATACAAAGATCAAGGACGCCAGGCGGATGGTGGGGTCACGTGACTGGTGGGGCAGGTCACTGGTTTTTCTGGACCCAGTCCCAACCATCTGCGTTCTCTTTCCGGTTTTTCTCAGCTTCAATGATTTCTTTGTACCTTCGGCGAAAGAAGCCCATCTGAAAGGTAGAGGGAGGAAAAGCCAGGTTAGAATGTTGGAGAATCAGTCGTTCTGCTCCCCTGGGTGAGGAGGAGGGATGACCTATACTCACAAAGCTGGGAGGGCTTGGAAAACCCCTCAGATGAGACTGACTTAGGAAAAGCATTATTGGGGTGCCGCCTTTCAAAATGCATGGACTTCCTACAGGTTATCTTCTGGTTGTTCCTCATAAAGTGCTTCTGGTGGCTTGTGTCCCAAATGGTGTGCCGGGGAACACCCATTACTGAGCATAGTTACTCAAAGGCATTTGGGAAATAGGTTTCATGGTCAAGTAAGTTTGGGAAATGCTGCTTTCTTTCTTCCTTTAAGAGCTATGGGATGCACAGGAGAACAGTCAGGGTCTAATAAACCCTTAGTAAAGGATCCAAGAAACTCAGGGACTTAACCTTTCCTGAGCTCATTGGGCTTTTGATAAACCTATTACTATCCTGGGAGACATTAGCCATCGTGGGGTAATTGATAAATACCGTTCTCCCAGCAGCCTACCTCGCTGTCCCTCTAGATCTTTCTCTCGGACCTACGAAACATGCAGTGCCCGCGCCATGACCAGCAGGGTGAACTCCCCTAGAACTGGCATCTCTCTGGATCCAGGATGGGTTTCCTCTAGCTTACTTCTGGAAAGGCCTTCCCCTCTGATGTCTTACAGTTTTTCACATACCAGAGGGCAAGTTTGTAGCGCTTCTCACCCAGCCTTCACTGCCCGAGAGGTAAGCCATGTTTGTAGCCCAGACCTGACCTTCTCCCAGGCTCAGGGAGACTTGGCATGTCTTGTCCTTTGCGCACCGCCATTAGTGGCCACTGTTTCTGAGGTCAGACACTCCTTCCTGCCTCTGCCCTTAAACATGACCGGCTGTGGGTTACTCCTGCTCCCTCTCTTCTTGGGTGTGACAAGCCTCAGGTGCGTGACCTACCAGAGTTTCCCCGTGGAACGTGCTGGCAGGGGTAACTGGTCTTACTGCGTCTTTATTGCCTTCCTTCTCTTTCCTATCTCACTCCCCTGCTCTGATCAGTGTTTCCTGAGGTCACCTTGTGAATCAATTACCCGCCCTCAAACCTCCATTTCAGTCCCCTTGAACAGAGGGACTCCAACAGCCACACACGTTCGGTCAGCCGTTGGCGGGTCTGCGGCGCTCTCGTGAGCCTATAAGTCCTGTAGCCATGTGGGAACATGCTCACGAGCAGCGATTTCTGCAGTGTGCTGCCAAGAGCGAATATAAACCCTGCCCCGAGGGAACGATCATGCAAGCCCGGCTCTCATGCGCGCATCTCCCCCAACTCCTTCACTCCGAGCTGAGCACCCACAGTCATTCTGATGGTCACAATTCTTACGCCCCCCGCCGAAGGGTCTGACTGCCTCACTGAAGATGAGAACTGTCAAGCCAGCTGCCAGGAAGCATCTCCACCCACATTGCCAGGGGAATCCTGAGAGTTCACTTTGCGTGGAGTCAGTGAAGGGGTGGGTGCAGTCTGAGCGACGGGGAGGAAGCTTTCTTCAAACACCTGGCAAGGGTCTTGTGTTCTGAGCTTCCATCCTCATGGGCAGCTTTGTGGACAGACACCGAATTCCTAGGGTTTGCAGCCCTGGTGGTTTCTTCTCAGCATGTGCCAGAACCCCACTTTCTGACCCTCCCCTCCACCCCCTGTCCAGGCCCCCCCCACTTTTTCCTCCCCTTAAATCTCTACCACCTTCTCCCCTCTGCAAGGAATGTGGAACAGGGGCTTGGGCTGGATGTTTTGGGAAAAGGCCCTCAAAGACACCCACAGAAGGTCAGAAGAGCAACCCACAACTTACTGGAGAGGTCTAAGGAGTTACTGCTTGGAATACCATTATGATAAAGATGTGGTTGACGGAGCAAATATGTCACGAGCACCTTCTGTGCTAAGGAGAACACAATCCTGAGACTGAGGCTGGATGTGATATGGAAATGAGATTCTTTAGCATAGAACCCTTCCCGTGGATGGAATGATTCACGGATCCCAGGTTACTCACTTTCCAGCTCCAGAGAAGTAACTTATCTCTACTGTGGCACTAATCAAGCGGGATTTCAACTGTTCCCTCGTTAACTTTCCTATTTGTCTTAAGTCTTAGAAGTCCTGGAAGGTAGGATTTTGCATGTTATGTCCCCAGAGCTGAGCATATCACCTGTACTTGGCAGCAGAGATAAACTGCAAAAATCCCCACAATCCTGCATTCCCCACGTCTAGGCCCTTTACCACATGATTCTGTGGCGGTTTCCATCCTGAGGCAGGGGCTGACTCCCCCCACCTTGAATCTGCACTGTGATTTGTTCTGACAATTCGCTTCCACACTTAGGCCTCAAGAGGCCTTGTGCGCTTCTGCTTGCTCTCTCAGAACCCTGCCTGGCCTGCATGCGAATGAGTTCGATCTAGAGGAGAGTGCACCCAGCTGAGGACTTCCTAGACCAGCCAACCCCCAAGTGCCTGCAGGTGCAGACATGACCCGTCCAGCTGAGATCAGAGAACCCCCCGGCTCAGCTCAGCCCAGCCCACAGACGTGTGAGCTATGTAGATATTTGCTGCTTTTAAGCCATTAAGCTTTGGGGTGGTTTGTTATGCAGCATGAGGTAACTGATTCAGTACTCCGTGTTTTTTTTTGTCCGACTTACTGAATGAATCAGCACCCGCAGGAAGAGAGGCAGAGGGGCAGCCGATAGGGTTCTGGATCTAAGGAGCATCACTGTGCCTTGTTCTGCTGAACAGACTTTTCTTGTTCATCTCCAAGCAGCACAAAAGTTGGCTCACATTCTCATGGCTATGCTAGCATAAGGATTTGAAATAGAGTGTGCAAACCATCTAGCAAGGATTTAGAGCACCTGGATTCCCTGTCACATGTAGCTATCATGTGCTCACATTTAAGGGTCATACTTGTTTCCAACGACGTGGAGGCACCGTCTCCTGCAGGCTTCCAGAGGCAAGCTCTTTTCTATCAAGTAGAGTGGTGTTAGCATTAGTCCTAAGAATCACTCCCGCACCCCTGGAATGACTGGAACGCTGCTCTCAGAAACAGCCTTGCAAACTCTGTGCCCTGCCCCAACACTGCAGTGTCTCAAGAGCCCTGCGCCCCACCCAACCTGTGTGTGGTCTCTTCGATGGAAGCTTGGAGCTGCCGTTGATGTCTGCCCTCTGTCTATGCAGCCCGAAGATCATTTCTTAAAACACGGTCCCCGTTCAAGGCTAGGGAGTGCTGGGTACGGCAGAGCAGGCTGTGCGGTGCCCCTCACATCACAGATAGCCTGGACATGTAAGTGTATTACAACTATCCTCCAGCAGATGGAAGTAGAGTGTCTTTTTCCCCCCTCCCCCTAACAAAATCAGAAGCAGGTTTTCTGATTTTTCGACAGATGGAAGTAAAGTTTCTGGACGAAGGGGTGCAGTTTACTAGTCTGCACAAAGATGCCATATAGTCCAGTGGGCGCTCTGTCAAACTAATATGCTTTCTTGCACGATCAAGCTAATTCCTTGTCCGAAAAAGAGACTATCACCTTTGTGCTTTTGTTTAGAGCCTAGTTTTGGCTTTTGATACAGAACCCAAAGCCCAGGCTCTGAGTTTACTGAGCAACGGTCCCCCACAACTGTGTCACACCAGGCCTGCCCAGTACTCGGGAGAGATGTGGCAGAGGGAGCCCAGAGTCCTGATTACTACTCCCGCTCCGACCACCTCCCTCCTACACCACCAGGAAGGTCATTTTCTGGCTGTGCCCCAGAGACCGAAGGCATTCTTAGACCTCAGCTGAAACACAACGACAGCTTTTTATGTTGGTCCCCAAAGAAAACTTGGGCTGCAACTGTTTTCCAAGAGTTTTTTGGAAATTTTGGGTAAACTGAATTTTCCATTTTTGTATTAAAGTATGGGCAGATCGTAAAACATAAAGAGTCCTACAATTCTGAAAACGAGGATAAACGGAGACTTCCAAGACATTTCCCCCATGCGGCAGGTCCTCCCCTCTCTCTGGCACACGCTCTCACTCCCGTTAGTCCTCACGGTTACTTCGGGGAAAACCTTTGAGACGTGCTGGGCACACCTGTTTTTGCTGCCAGCTGAGCCCACTGGGAATGATCGGTCATGAGTTCAGTAAGCTGGACCCTCGGCAGCCCCACACTCAGTGCCGATCCAGTGGAGTCAATGCTGTCCTGCACTTTTTCTGGAACCTTCCACGGCTTGCCTTGCCACTTGAAGGGCAAAAGGCTCTGTTTATACGTGTTCTGTCTGTAGTGGAGGAAACATTCATGGAAACCCCAGAGGAGGAGAGACTCAAACCAAGCTCTGCTCAGTGGCAGACAGAGGCAGCAGAGTGTGCTTTCCGGCTTCTTGTGTCTGCGCCGGGCCTGATAGGAGCCTGCAGCCCCACAGGGCAGCTGCCTGAGCCCTCCTGACTGACTTACACAACTTTCTGGTGTAAACTTGCATCAGAAACCTGCCAGAAAACAACTAGGGAAACAGGAGATTTCCTCTGAAGGACCCTCATTAGGGAGGTGTTGTGGGAGGCTTGAGGCCTAGGAAGAAAGAAGGCCTGACCAAGCTCTGGGGTCTGCCCCAGCCTCTACCCTCCCCGCCCATTTCGGGGTGAGTGAGGGACTAGCTGCACAAATCCACGGCGTCTGCCTCCTGTGAGATCCCCACCCCCGCCTTCCTGGCCCTTGGGTGGCCTCTTGGGCAGCGATTCCAAGGACCTCGGACACACTCCTTCTTTGGACTAACTCGCGGCCTCATGTTTATGGGTCTCTTCAGTTACTTGAGTATTTACACAGCATGTCTCTGTCTTGAGATGTCAACAGTGTGGCTTATCAGCCCAGTATTTACTTCTGAGCATAAATAAGTCCCCACCGAGGGTCTCTGGCACATGGTTTTAATTGATACGGTGTGAAGGACGTTTGTGCGTGTGTGGACGCACACATGCGTGTATCTGTGTCTTCTTTCTCTGGAGGAGAAGCAAGGAT